GATCTGAGGCTGATGAAGGGTGGGGATTTTTTGGTGGGTGGGGGCTGGAAAACGTAATGATGACCAACTGCAGCCCATGTACCAAGTGGGACACATCATTATGTAGACCAAGGCCCACCCTAACCTACCCCACCCCACCCCTCAGGACTCAGCCTCTCAGCACCTCTGCTACCCAAAAGCCTGGCCAGCATTTAGTACCACTAATCCATCGGGGTTGCAGGGAGACCTACAATGAATGGCAACGGTTTGCAGTGACTTCTCCAGCCGTGCTGCAGGACAGAGCTGTGCCACAGGAGAGGTGAGATGGAAGGGCTCAATCCCATTACCAGTCCAAACACCTCAGCAGCAGGGAGCTCCCTGGAGGAGGGGGCAAACTGACTGACTCTGCACACAAAGCTCCCCTCCCCTCCCCACTTTCACATGAATAACAAAGATACTTTAAAATGTTTTATTTGTTTCTGAAGAGGCTGACACCAGACACTTTCACATGTTCTATTTGTTTCACAAGAGTCTGAAAGCAGATGATACAATGTATGTTTGTTTGTGCCGAGGTGACAGCAGCAGCAGCTCTGTATTTCAGAGCCCTGCTCTACCCCCAGCACAGAACCCAGCACTTTGGTGAGACCCCCTGCACTGACCCAGCTCCCCCCGGCTGCCGGGGCCAGCGCTGGCCCTGCCTCAGCCCATGCTGACTCCTCTTGGCTCAGAGCACGGGGCTCCTGCCCAGGGGCTGCTGAGCATTGGCACTGCCACTCGGGCACCAAACACCAGCCAGAGGGAAGGGGGCCACGGGTCGCCTCCTGAGCCCGTTCTGCCCGAGGCTCCCTGGCAGCAGTGCTGCATTATGGTGCTGTTTGTTTTGGGATAAACCAGGCTGTGGGGACCAAGCACAGGCAGCCTGGCATAACCATGCTCACCTGGCCAGAACTCTGGCCAGACACCACGCTGCGAGACCCCCACAGCCCCGGGGATCAGCACCAGGGGTGTCACACCTCTGGGCAGCACTGCAGGGCTGGCACTGCTTGTGCCAAGGGGCACGTTTGGCAACTGGATACAGGTGACTTGCAGCCACCTTCAGGCTGTTACTGAGGAACTAACCCCTACGCTGACTACGTGGGTTTCCTCACAGCCACCTAGCCCAGCCTAACGAAGTCCTCATCAGTGACAGCGAGAAACAGGTTTCAAAAAGCAGATTACTGCCATATTTATGCTTTACAGAAAAATACAGCTGTGTATACAGAAAAATACAATTGTCTTTACCAGAAATTCCACAGGGGAAAAGTTATATGTCAGTTCTCATGAAGAGAAAAACTACAGAGCTATTCACAGCAGAAACAGCACACCCCAGTCTACTGTAACACAGGAATGAGCTTGGCGGCGATTGTGACTTTTACCTAGAAAAGGCTGCTACAAAAGGATCATCAATATTCACACTTATTTCAGCCATGCAGGTCTGGAACCTGCTGCTGACATAACTGCGTGTTTGATGAGCTCTCACAGCAGTAATGGGCTTGCTTTTGCTGAGTGTTGAGCTCAAGTAAGATTCCACAAGAATCCTGAACTTCCTAGACTTGGGGCTGGCTGGTTCCTTGCTTAGTCTGCCTCACTGCTAAAGGTCTTGAAGCTCTTGCTGCTCTCCCATTTTTCAGCCTAATTAACGCGGTGGGTTTGAAACTGAGCTGGCAGTGGGCACCGACACCTTTGCCGCCTGTCTAGTTGCCATGAAGCTGCCATCTCCGAGAACTTCCAGGATGGGACTGGGGAAAACAAAAGGCACCTACAGGAGAACTTGGAAGTCTCAGAAACAATATGAAATCAGAGTTCGTTTGCTACAGCACAGAGCAGAAGTACATTTGGTAAAGAGAGGAATTCTTTTCTGGTCCAGAAGACTTGGTCTCCATCTGCTGTGGTGTTCAGATTGGCTTGTACAGCAAAGTAGTCACGTACTTCTTCTTGTAGCGATGCGTGGCACTGAGCACCATCACTCCATCCTGTGGGAGAGGGAAGAGAAGGGAGCACAGCACGTGGCTACCAGACCACACAGCTAAAAGCTGCCAGAGTGAGGAACGTGCCCTGGCCTCTCACCTTGATGGAGAGCGCGTAGAGGTGGTTCAGCATGACGTGGTTGGGCTCAGGGAGCAGAGCAGGGTCACACTGGAGAAGAGAGAGTGAGAGTGTCAAAAGGGCAGAACTCACAGTTTGCTCATCATGGCTGCTGAGGGTGAAGACCTCAGTCTGTGAGTGCAGCTTACACCGAGCCTGGCAACCAATACGGTGCAAGAACAATCCGGGACCCCCCAGGGCCCTCTGCATCCTCACTGCCATCACAACCCAGACCTTGGTGTGCCTGACAGCCTAGCAGTGTTGCAGTGGGAAGATCAGGGCTGCTGGGAGTAAACCAGCAACCCAGTTTTCTCTTCAGTTTTAAAGAGAATCAGGTAGAAAAAAAAAATTTATTTCACATGGGTCCACCTGGACTCACATAATAAGGAATTTATCAACACGGCAACAATTAGGTTTTTCCTTGCCTGTCCCCTGATTTTTTCCCCATCTGTTCACACCCCCAAGGCCATTGTTCAGCACAGCAACGGAACTCACCGAGATGCCCGTGTCCTTGTTGAGGATGACCTGCAGCAGGTGGGGAGGAAGGATAGGTGGGGATTTGAAGCGCTCCTCTGCCTTACAGACGTAGGGCTCCTGGTGGTACGGCCCCGGGGGTGAACTCGACAGCTCTGCCACAGAGATGGTCAGTGTTAATTCCTAAATAGGCTGCAGTAATACCTGCTCTTCACAGGTACATTTTACCAGTACTCCGAGTCCGTTTTCATATCCAGAAACTGCAGCCTGAAGAAAGCAATGGCAGAGAAGTACAGGCCCTGCAGCAGCTGAGGCAGAGCCAGGGGATCAGTCGCTGCCCAAGAGGTCACTTCAGCTGGCCAAAGAGACTGGCCAAAGCTGGCTGAGACTAGCTGTGAACATGTGGGAGGTGGAGTTCTGGGGGCACCACCACACTCCAGAACTTTCCTTGTCATCTCTGCCCAGCACTTCCCCTGCCCAGCAAACACCTGACAGCAAACCTGGCTCCCACAGGTGTTATCCCCTGGGCAGCACTGGAAATGTGGTTTGCACATGTAAAAGGCCAGAGTTATTCCTCTGTGGGACTCGAGTAACAGAAGGGCCTCTTCAGAGGGTACAGCAGTATGATGGAAGTTTGTTACAGCATGGAGGGGGGAAGCATCTACCAGACGTCTCCCCCAAGCTTCTGGCAGAGTCCAATTCTCCCAAATCACACCCTCACTCCAAAAAGGCTTTCTCCAGGAGAAAACTGCAATACCCAGCAAAATGTACCTTCTGCCTCAGAGTCAAAGGACAGGTCTGGAGGCTGGGCTCTGTCCCTGCAAAGGTCTGTGAGGAACAGGTGGCAAGGCTGATCCCAGAGATGACTCAAGCTAAATCCTACCTCTCCTCTGTTGCACTTGAGTAGGAAACTTAAGGCAAAAGCATCACTTTTGTATTATTCTAAGATACAGACCACTTATAATACCCTGAGAGGACACGACATATTCCTGAGACTGTGTTAGCACTACTAAGATGGGTCTGATTTCTAGCTCTCAGTGTGCAGCTTCTGACCTCCTCCACTCATCTCCTCAGCAGAGGACAATGGTATCAGGAGCAGCACCAGCTGTCAAGGTTGGCTGGATGTTGTAGAGACTGGTGCACCACAGAGCACCAGACCCAGCTGTTTCACATGGCACGGGCAAACAAACAGCTGCTAGGCACCCGTGACTTCCTCCTAACCAGACCTGCAGTGACCTGTGCTGCTCTGTCCTCCTGTACTCCTCCCACCTTCTTCCTTCGTGCATTTGGGATTCCTGCACACGTCCCAGGGCCTGACAAGAGTGGAGATTAATCTACAGATCACCTGGAGCTTTAACTACAGATGAAAAGGAAGATGAAATTTTTAACAGCTCTAAAAGAGTGTGATATAAAATTACCAGTAAGCTCATACCAGACATGTCTGAACATTTTTGGGAGTCCACCATCAAAGCATCAAACACCTCGAAGTCAGTTTTCTTCACCTGTATGATGTTGTTGACGGTACCTAGCTGGCTGGTTACTACTGGCTGGAAGAAACAAGTACAAAAGTCAGAATGAAAAAGCTTGCAGGACTATTAAAGCCTCAAAACTATACAATTGGTATTACCAAGTTAACTGTGGCGACACAAGGAACTGAGCTTTACTTCTACCTTCTAGGGCTTTCAGAGCCAGGCTAAGATCTGCACGGCCCGAAGCAGGACACAGGATGGCTGGTGTTGCTGGTTCACTACCAAAGCCAAGAGTCTGAGATAGACGGTTCAAAGAGCTCAATTTACTGCAAGGTAAACTCTGAGAGGTTCTGTAGGGTTTGCCAAGACAGCAGAAGACTGGACCCAGCAGCTGTGAGAGGCTAGTTCTGAAGCAGGAGCATCTGCTGGGCAGACTGGGGTTAAAGCGCGTTTTACAGCAGAGGAAGAAGAAAAGGCCTGGTAGATTTTGGCACAATTACTGGTCTATGAGAAGATCTGAAGCAGTAACAGCAACATTCTGGCACAGGCAGCAAGTACAGCACTGAGATGTGGGCTGCCAGCAGTGCTACAGTGCTGTGAAAGGCGGTTTGGCACCAGGCAAGCTCAGCTCACCACCTCTTACAGCCCGGTACCTGAAAGATCTTGCCACAAAACCTCCCGTCCTCTGAGGCCATCCAGCCTGATGCCTCCACTGAGGCCCGTGGGGATCCTCACCACCTCACCAGCTTAAACAGGCAGTTTCTGCTGTTAACCTCCTCTCTGAAAAGGTCACTTATTGGTACAGAAACCTGCCTGCTTCTCCTCTTCAGGTGCCTCAAGGAACAAATAGAGAGAGTTGAAGAAAACTCTACCTCTGAAGGATCGTGTGTCCACTGCCCATCCACAAAGAACTTGTATTGGTGCTCCCCTTCTGGCAGGTCCAGGATTGCCACAAAGTTATTGTGACTGGAATTTAAGACATACAATCAGCTCTGAAACATTCTGAGAACTACATCAATCTCTAGGCTGTGACACTGAAGCACAGAACACAAGCCACCTTAGCATGCAAAAACCTAGAAAGGCTTATGAGAATCACATGCAATCTGAAGGTAAAGAACCAAACTAAGGTTAATATTCAAAATTAGCATCCTCATTCCTAGCACTGAGCTTTTCCAAAGTCACCCTCATGTCTCTATGTTGCTTGTTGGTAGGTGAGACCTCGTTTCATGTGCGTCTCCAGCTGATGGAACAAGATCAGCCTTCTCCTTGCCTGTCAGTGTTTGCCACCATAAATTGCATTTCACAAATGCCTGGGAAATGAATGAACAACCAGAAGATGAAAGCAGCCACTCAGTACTTGAGCTACTTTGACTCTGAATAGCTGCTGCTGCTTGGCAGTTCTGATACTCCTGTGCTGAGAACTTCCCGGTCCTTCAGAAGTCTTTACAAGCCCCTTAAAGAACCTGAGAAGAGCTGATGCCATGTGAACAATGCAAACAGGCCACACAATGCCAGTAGCTCTCTTTCCTTCTCCTCAGGTGAGGAGCACAAGCACAGCACCACAGGATTGCTGGATTTCAAATTCAGCTTGGAATAATGAACTCTTCTGCTTCAGTATATTTGATTCAGTACCATGATTTTATTCAGCCTCTAAGGAGGGAGGTCCTAATATTTCCTTTCCCAGAACAGCTCATCTAACAAGAGACAAAAATGACTTTTTTTTGGTAAAGACACATTTTTGTCCTTTTTCCAGTTTCATTTCACCATTTCCCATCTCCCAGGCTTTCTACTTAAGAGTATGACAGTAACCTGGATGCTCCACTGGCCTTTTTTCCAGCTCCTGTCTTGATAAGTTCTTTCACATTGTTCATGCACAGAACACTCCTCCCAGGCCACCAATCCTCCCTCAACCCTCCTAAGAAATGAAGACACTCCTGTAACAATGGCAATGCAGGTAGCCAGTCACTGAGGTAGGAAACACCCGAAACTGGCAGGAGACCAATCGGTCATGGATGTGTCATCTGACAACACTCAGCTCAACACTGAAATTCAGACTCTCTGTCAACCATTATACCTTAAAGTTTTGAAAAAGCATTGGTTTAAGTACTTACTCTGGCAGAGAATTAAGCAGAACTCCAGTGCTCTTTGGCAGGAAAAAGCACCTGACACCTTAACAGATTTATTCTCTCATTCATGTAGTTTACCAGCAGGTATCCAAGGCTCAGAGCTCCCTAAGCAGAATTTGGACCCTCTGGCCTGGGCAAAAGCCAGTCGTGTGGCAAGAAAGCACACGTGCCCTCAGAGACACTGCTCAAAACCAACCTCACCTCATGCTCCTCAACTCTACCCCCAGCAGCAGACCCTGCACTAGGATCCCTCGGGGTCATGCACGCATGGGGCCTGGTGAACAAATCACTCTTTCAAAACTCACTCACAGCCCAGCTTTCATCCTGTGCCATCCAAGAGTCACAAAGTCAGACCCTCCTCAAGGGCCTGAGGAGAAAACAGGGCACTGGTAGGACCAGGCACACCACCAGTCTACCAGCTGAGCACCTTTCTCACTGCGCCCATGGGGAATGTCAGCAGCACAGCAGCCACTTATTACCTCCTTGTCAGAGGGATTTTACTCCAGTTGTTGAAGGATCCAGACAAATAAACTTCTTTCCCTCCTCCAGTCCAGCGAAAGACTGTTGGTCGAGCCTGAGTAGGGGTTTTATCATTCACCTCCAGATCTTGTTGCCAAGCCAGGAATTCTTCTTTCTCCAACGGAGCCTACAAGCAGAGTGTCTGAATCAACAGGGAGCCCTCCTGCCCTTCCCCTGGCACAATCCTCTAAGGTGCAGGTCTACAAGGAGGTTTTGTCAGTTGGAGATCAGAAACTGTCCATTTCTAGATCCTGTTTACAAGTTCATTTGCACAAATTCTGCAAAGATGTTAAAGCCTTCCAAATTTGCAAAAAGAGTGGAAGGCAAAATAATCCCCCTCCCTCCAGACTACATTAGGTTAAAAAGAAATATCTTGAGCTCACAACGTTTTTCAAAATGCACAGTTGTAAGAAGAGGAAAAATAAAATACACTTAGTTAATAAGCATTTAAATCATACAAATATTGTAGGCACAAAATTTGTAATTGTAAGAATGATTTGCCTATAGGAAATAGCTCTGTCCAACAGTCAACATCTAAGTGGAATTTTCTGTTAGATATTCTTGCAAAATATGATACACAGCAGGATGTTTCCAACAATCTATCTATTTCTGAGCCAAAAAAACCCCAGTCAATGAATGTTTTAATGTGGAAACCAATAGCTAAAATGACACTGGTGATTGCAAGAGCTTTAGGGGTGTGAAGGAAGCTGGGGCACTGTACTTAGACCTTGAACCAGTTACATTTTAGTTTTTCCACAACTAATTGTTGCTGGAAATCATGACTTTATACCCATTATCTCTGCCTGAACACCAATGTGCTCGCTCTCCTTAGCATGGGAAGCACAGGAGGCCTGTGGGCAGCTCAGTGACAGAACTACTGATGCTTGCCACAAGCACAACTGGACATCACCCCAAGCTGGTCACGTCAGAAGACAGGAACAAAGTGGCAGTACCTTCATCTCCTCTGCATGGAACAAGTCTGCATCTTCCGGGCTGTCCATTAGGATCTTTGGTCTATCACCCTCTTTGCTGATGGCTCCTCCCGAGCTGTCACCTCGAGGGGCCTTGTGCCCATGGCGCTCCAGCCCAGCTCGCTCACTGCTGGTGTTCCCCATGCTGAGGGGCCTAGGGGAGCAGGAACAGCAGGATTAGCACACCCACTTCCCAAGCCAGGTCACCAGCAGGCAGAGACGTGGGCTCATCAGCAGCCCTGGGCTCTGCTTCTGAGTTGAAAGATCCAAGAAACCTGATTAAGCCCAAACAGTAGCGTCTTAAAATGATACCAGGCTCAGAACAAAGACTACAAATGACCGGTTTTAGCTACCCTTGATAATGTGCTAGGGCTCAGCACCTTAGCACCTCTTTTCCTGAGATCTAAGTCAGCCAGGCAGGTGGCAGGTGTCTGTCCCTGCAGGACACTGGCATTCTGCCTTCCCAAGGCAAATGCTGGCTCTTCTTTCTTTGGAATCCCACGTGTATAAAGTTCTGCCACATCAGTTGAAACATCAGTAGAACCTTCTGTCAAAACGCTTCAAGAACAGCCTACTAGAAACGTGACTTCACTAGACAATAAGCCGTTAGTGGAGGCGGCAACTACG